GGTCAAACAACTCCCATCACCCACACAGCGTGGAGAGGCCCTCATCCGGCAGTGTTGCACGCACACATGTTATGCGCAATGGTTTTATGTCAACCCTTTGGCCACCACTAGAGGCGCTACAATTCACCGTAATGCGGTTAAAAAACGTAAATCAACCCGAGTCAAATCGTGAACAGAGATTTTCGGCATTCATCAACGTGCCACGAAGTGTTTTGCTCCGAGCAATTGATTCAGGGGTGGGAGTTGCGGCGGAGAGCTGCACGCATGCTGAATTTCGTTTGCACCGTACGTAGCCAACCGTGCTAATCGGAGGAGCAACTGAGCTCTTTGAACCTGTCCGCATGGATCCTTGAGTGGCGGCCACTCGTGGGTGTTCTCTGGGACACTTCGGTTGCCATCGTCGTGAAAAGAACACAGGAAGGAATTTGCCAAGCGTGAAACGTGAGTGCCGAGGATAAAGTGAAACTTTCCGGGTGAGTGGAGGAGGCATCAACGTCGCCATCGCTCTCACAACATGGGCGCCGTCCAAACCTTCCGAATTTGCAAAGATTCCCCTCCTCGGTGATTTGTCACAATCCAGAGGTGGCGACAATCCGATTTGTACACAAAGATCCCCCCCCAGTATAGCCTCAACAGACTCTTTGGGCAAGTGTTGTTAGCGAGCACCTATGAAGGCCGCAACGGTACACGAGGGGGTCGGGTGGTCAACACCACGCCCGACCGCCTTTGGCTCACTTGTGGCGATGTTTACACACCGCACCAGGTACTCATTTGAGGCTGAGTCGACCTAGGGGAGGCCCAGGACCGGTTCAGAAAATCGTCACTGGTTTTGGCCGTGAGCGGGAATCGAACTTGGGTCGCCGCGTTCGAAGCGCAGCGTGCTCACCGCGAAGCTACACACACACCAACACAGGTGGCTCCATAACATAGCTGCACACGAAAAGTACAAACATAGCCCGGGGTAGCCTACGCAAACGGTTGGTGCAAGCGCTGTTCAGTGAGCACCTATTAAGGTTGGCACGGCTCACGAGGGGGCAGTGTGGCCAGAGAACCACACCCGTCCACCTTTTTCTCCCCCGCCCCCCCCCCAGGCTCAGTTGGGATATTTGGCTATGATGTTCCCGTCTGCTTCGTAGCTTGCCTTGTGTCACTACACAGAAAAAATGCACAAAAACATGCGCGCGCACACACACGTACACCACGTCCCACACACACGGAACAACTTGAAAGCCGGAAGATATTGGGGGATCCTCAAATGACCCTAGAAACCAGGGCTCCCCTCCCCCTTCTCCCATTCCTCCTTTCCTCCCAGCCAGGCCCCCCCACCGCCACCCCAAGCTGGCTCTGCATCCCATCCCTTTCCGCCCTCTTACGCACAGACCCCCACCATTACTACCTTGTTAAACGCTTTAAACAAACACGGCTGCAAATTTGGAAAATACGCGCGCACACACGTACGCGCGCACGTGCGCACGCGGGGGAGGGACTAACGTTCAGAAAATTCACACCCACTCCCCCCAACTTCTATACAACGATCATCCGTTCTGATGGATGATCGGACAATGCCTGAAACGTTAAGTTGTAACAACAATAATATATTTTTAAGAAAATCACTTGTCAAAACGATCTCAATAAGCGCGTTCATGTCGTGCAGTGTCTGGAGACGCGGTCGTATTTAAGATGCTCCGTGAATCCAGAGGTTGCCGGTTTGATGTTCCGGAGCGGCAGTTCGTATGTACTGTATGTTGAACTTCTTTCGCACCGTATGAAGGCAACCGTGCCAATCGGAGGTGCGGGGGTAGGACAACAAACTAAGCAAAAAGCAGTTCTAAAGAAATGAGTTTTCAATCTACATTTAAGAATGCATAGATCCAGGGGCTTCCTAATATCGGTGCGAAGAGCGTTCCAGACGGCCGCAAAAACGCATCTGAAAGCGCGCGATGCGGTGACCGTCTTTGTCTGATGGCGAGCCAAAAGCCGCTGCTGATCGGAAAATTGGCAGGTTTCTGAAACCCTCCTGCGCCGCCTCTAGAATTAATGGGTGGGGTAAAATGTGGGTACTCCCACCACTTTCATGATGTGTGCTCGGCATTGGGAGAGGAGACCAAAATACTCTCTAAGAGGAGCTCTCTAGGGTCCCCTCTAGTGGAAGCCATCCCACCGACAGCGGTGTGAGCAGGCAATTGCGGGGCTGCAACTTTATTCTTACCTATGGACGTACACCATTAACCCGCACAGGGGATATCAGTGGAGTGTCCCGATTCCCAGGTCACGATTCCATTTCAGCTGTTCTTATATTGGTAGAGCCTCCAATTGCTGGAGGAGTGACACGATCCCATAACATCATCATCGGATCGATATTTATAAACGGGTAGGTACATGAATCGCTGCACCCCTGGCATATATTTATATATTTGTTAAGTTCTAACACACCAATATTTGTTATTAATAACGACGATGGTGGTAAAGTATGTCTGCCTGGTTTATGCAATACTGCCAAAGATCCCTCAAACTTGTACGCACCATACACACACAAAAACAAAGATCCCCCTATATGGCCTTCAATGGACTGTGGGGGCAAGTGCTGTGAGCAAGTGCTGTGAGCGAGCACCAATGAAGGCCGGCACGGGCCACGAGGTGGTGGTTATGGCCAGGCAAACACACCCGATCCCCTTTTTTACCCAGTCCTGAAATTTAAGCACCACACCCGGTACACATTTAAGGCTGAGTCGACCTAGCGCAGGCCAGGGACCTGTTCAGATAATCGTTGCTCATTTGGGCCGCGAGCGGAAACGAACTCGGGTCGTCGGGTTCATAGCGCAGCACACTAACCACACCACGCTCACACACACAAAACAAAAACCCCATGTAACCATACGGACTGGTGAGACAAGCGCCATTCACGAGCACCTATTAAGAACAGCACTTGACTGCTTGCGGGGAAGGTGTGACCAGCACCCCACCCCCCTTGTCTCACCAGCGGTAATGTTTGGAGAATCAAATTTCCTTAAAAAAAATTGGCACGAAATTCGAAAAGGTTGGTGTTTTCATTTCAGCATATTTATCACATTCGGAATAACAAGGGCATCGAGCGGTGGTGCAGCAATTAGTACACTGCACTCTGCCATCGCTGCCGATACACAAAAGGAAACAAAAGTGGACGCATACTATAGATCAACTTAAACGAATCATCCATCGTGGAACTGCGAGGTTAACTTTGTCCATTCTCACGCTCTGAAACGTTAAGGGTTTCCCTATCCATCAATTGCCATGCGACATTTTTCAACAAACCATCATGTGGGAGCTTCTGACACAAGGTCAATAGCGTGTGTATGTATGTGTGCGCGAGAAACGTAGCTTCGATTATGAAATTGCCATTGCTCGTCTTCGTATGGGGAGGGCAGTGTCGCCGCAGAGGCTAGCGCGCTGCCTGCTGTTGAACCTGGCCACCCGCGTTCCAATTCCTGGTCATGGCTAACATCGGTGGCTGAGTGATATATGGGTCCCCTCCCTACATGAGCACCTGGTGCGGGGTGCAGACAATCAGCACTGGGAAGACAAAGGCGACCAGGCACGTTGCACTGGCGTTGGCTTTCACAGACGCTCGCTAACAATGCTCGGCCCTGCAAAAGTCTCGCACTTGTGCCGCTGGACGGGAGGTGATCAACAGGCCTCGGTGATGTCATCGGCGTCATCGGCATCATCGGCATCATCGGCTGTGTCACACTGGGACGTGGCTTATGGGGGTTGTTTTTTTTCGTCTGCTTTCAGGAGGCAGGGTGGGAGCGTCCCACTAGTTGCGGTGATTTCTCCGCCCGCGGACGCAACGAGCCGCTCCTCACCGCTTGCGGAATGCACATTACCGGGTATTTATGGAGCCCTTTACATGCGTCGGAGAGGAGTAATAGTGATATCGGGCAGCCAAAGGTCTCCCTACGGCACGTGCAGATACTGCGCATGCTCGCCCACTTGCCCGCCAGTCCTGCCTTCCACAGAGCTGTCCCGAGGACGCACGTTCAAGATATTATTGTCCTCGTCGTCATCATGATCGTTACATCATTACCAGCCATATGGTCAATCCCCTCCTGGATGAAGGCCTGCCTCCCACTGAGCCGTCTTGATAAGGCACGGGTTCAAGCCGGGCATGCCAAGCGAAGGGTTAACTGGGCCTGTGGTCACTTTGCATGCTTGTCGACCTTTGTATCTCCAGCGCTGGTGATAGGCGGTTTGGGCAAAGAGCTACATTCTTTATATGACCCAGATTCGATCCCAGGCCATAATGTACAGCAGGGGTAAAGTGGATTCTGAATCTAGTCTGGGCTTCCCATAGGTCAAACTCTGCCCTAAAAAGCTACTTGGTGCAGCGGGATTATTAGGGATTAAATAATTGACCCCACATCATACCCCCAGGAGTGTCTATAACATGTCGTTATTCAAGATCGTGATTGGGATTCGAGTTGTGGTGAACGGCTGCACCCCGAGTGGCTGTAGGATTCACGCGAACCCCACGCCTACAGCTATAAGTCGGATGCTGCGAGCCGGCGAATCGGTGCACAGCATTCGACGCGGGCATGCGTCACAAGTGCGAGAAAACGATTCCAATCGACTCGTCGGCTGTGCCACCCAGAGCGACCAATAAATAAAAAATAATCCTTCATAATACTTTTAACGCAAGCAGTTTTTGTTCACTCTGAGAGTTTGTTGTCGTTCTCCGCACCTCCGTTTGGCGCGGTTGGCTACGTACGGTGCAAAAGAAGTTCAACATACGGTGAGAGGTAGAGAGAGATCGATTAAGAGGCATAGGAAACCACGGACAAGCGGGGAAGGCGACAGAAACCTGCGCCACCAACAATTTCCCAAGCTCCGTGGTCCAATATTGAGATCGCTTCCTTTCTCCGCTTCCCTTGCTGCTCGTCCCCTCCCCGCTCCCTCCGCACATAACCCACAACGTCGTGGGCAGCGCAAGTCACGGACATGAGCCACCGCCGCCGTCGCATTACCTTAGTGCGCCCGTTGATGCTGTAGCGGCCCAGGCGGCCCTGGCAGTGCAGGATGAGCTCGTCCATGCGGCTCAGCAGCACGCCGATCATGTCGCATTCGGGCTCGCGGCCCTCCACCCACGCGATCTTGTCCCCGCGGATGACGGCCGAGTCGCGGCGCGGGCTCACCAGCTGGCCATCGCGAAAGCGCCCGCCGGCGTGCAGGGAGCACACCTGCGCCAGCACCGAGTCGCCCAGCGCGGCGCCCAGGAAGCGGTCCACCACGCAGATGCCGTGCTTCTCCATGCAGGGTGACAGGTAGTGCAGCGCCAGCTCGCGCGGCGGCCGCCGGTGCAGGGGGCCCAGCTGGCGCCTGTTGCTGTTGCTGCTGTTGTTGCTGCTGCAGCTGGAGCCGGTGCTGGTGTTGGTTCTGGGAGGTCCAACTGCAACTCCTATACCTACACCTCCTAATCCTACACCCAATCTGCCACCTCCAATTCCTACTCCGACAACTGGCTCTTGATTGTCCGCAGTGTCGTTCCTCCCCTTGTTCTGCTGCTGCTGCTGCTGCGTGTGAAGGAGGTGATTGCTAATTTGGGGCTGACCATGAAGGTCTGGGTTTGAATCCAGGTCAGATTCAGAACGTTCGCATGAAGACGCCGACTGTTGCTGCTTCTGGTTCTGGCCGAGGAGTTCCTGCTGCTGTTGCTGATGATGTTGTTGTTGCTGGGGGCTGGCCGGGAAGGGAGGCAGGCTGGGTGCGATGCCGGCCAGCGTCTGCATCATTCCCTGGCTGCCGCACTGCGGGGCCGAGGCGACGCGCTTTAGGCGGCTCGCGTGAAGCAGGGCCAGGTTGCCCGCAAACAGCTCCCCGTCCAGGCGGTTGTCGGAGAAGTTCCTCGTCATCCCGCTTGCGCCGTGCGGGACGAATTGCGGATGATCGACCCTCCCGTCGCCTCCGGCCGATCCAACGTCGCACGGTCCGCCGTCACACGACCACCCCCCTGCGCCAGCAACGGCTGGCGGTGGAATTGCGCAGGCAGCTGCGGTGGCAGCATCCTCGGCAACGGCAGGAGACACCGTAGCAGCGGTAGCAGCTGCAGCAGCAGCAGCACCGGCGACGACTGGAGCAGCAGCAGCAGTAGCAGCAGTAGCAGTGGCAGTGGAGGAGGTGTCACCGCGACCACCACCATCATCATCATCCTCACGAGTAGCACCGTCACCACTGCCAACACCGCTGGCCATCATCTCCTCCATCGCCTCCTCTTCCACCATCTCCTCCGCCTCTTCCTCCACCAGCTCGTCGGCCACCCCCATGTTCCTCAGCCCCTGCATAGCCTCGTCGCGCCGGCACAAGGCCCCCACGAAGATCTGCCTGGGACGAGGCCTCCTGACGAGCGAGAAGTCCCGCGCGGTGCACAGGTGCAGGAACTCGGCCCCGCACTGATGGCCGCCCTCCATTCAGCACGCCGGTGCTGACGATGACAGCTCCACCACTCGCCCAGGCCACTCGCCCCCTGGGCGTGCGGGATGCATGTGTGTGTGTGTGTGGGCATGTGTGCATGTACGTGTGTATGTAAGTACACGTACGCACGCAGAATGGGGAGCAGCGGTTAGCGAACTTTGCTATGAACCCAGTGGCACGAGTACCACTCCCAGTCACAGCTGACATCGGTGATAACTGAACCAGTCCTGCCACCCCACCCCACAAGCCTTCACAAATCTACACTAACCAGCGTGGTGAAGTATCGTCAACACAACCCCCCACGAGAGACAGGGCATGGGGAGTCGCTCATCCAGCCATCCAGCAGTGGATTGACAAAGGGCTGTGAATTATACAGCGTTTGCAACCGAGCCTGGGCTCGCATACTCTGCATTATAAATAAACTTCACCTGTCCCGTCTCTGAGTCAAGTCTGCCAGTCATGTGACGTAAATAATGTTGGTCACAGAGACTAGAAGGGCTCACTCATAAATCCACTGTGCAAAAATGTGGTTGACATGGGCCCTGGCTCAAGGAATTAAAAGTCCCTCCCCCCCTCCCTCATGTACAATTTCCCACATTCCACCCCCCCTACCACCCCCCCCCCACCGTGTCCCTCTTTGTAGCCCAACATCCGGGCCCACCTGGGGCCTAGTGAACCCCGATGAAGTTGCACCTTCTGCGCAATCGGTCGCTACTCCACGATGGTGTTTTTTGCGAAGGGGAGAAAAATGCCTTCGGGGACTAACTGTCAATGTCGAAGTCTGCTGGCCACGACGAGAAGGCTTCAGGAGGGGCAGTTCGTCTACCCAGTTGAATGAGCGCGGACTACAGTGCTAAACCACTTGGGACCATAGTTTGGGTTGCATGGCCACAATCGCACTAAAGTTGCGCTTGTCTTTAATCTTCCATTCGTGAAGGAGATGTGGCGCATTGGCCTATTGTTGATGTCCTGATGAAGTCACTCCGCTGATAACACCATTTGGGAGAAGGGCAGCGTTAGTCTTAGCCTCACACTTTACAACGTCTTCTAAAGCGTGGTGGTCACTAAAAGGGAAGTTCATACAAAGGTGTACATCGTGAAACATGTTTCCTGGACAAGCCCCCTCCAGCTCACAGTCGCACCGCCTGATGAGTTACGTGCGACCAATGCAATTTGAGCCAGTCAAAAATAAAAGCCAGTGCCCTAAAATGTCTAACCATCTTAGTAAACTGAATGTTCAAACTTAAATAAGGAGACGGCCTGGGGCAGTAACGAACACATCGCGGTGACGAGGGAATAAGATGACAGATGGACGAGACCGGTGACGGAATGGCAACCAGAGGAGAAAATGCGCCCGGCATTTTCGACCGCTGCGGAGATGAGCGATGAGATGAGCTCACGTGCAGGATCAATGCGGATTGTGGAATCGCAGGACCTCACGGGTAGCGACGGCGGTGGCCTTTTTATCATCCAGCAGTGGATAGACAATGGCTCAATGATGATGATGATGATTGACATTGTGTATTTACATGTAACTAGCACACGGGAATTGAGCTCCCACTCCGAACACACTCTGTGCTTCAAGGATATGTTGCTAGGCAACGGGATGGTAGTACACGATTTTACCTTGTATAACCAGGTTCAGAAGTTAAAGCGCCGAGGTTAGTCTCATTTGCAAGTGTGACCTAGGCCAACAAAAAATTACAAAAAGCAATTGCGCAAAAGTACAACTAAGCAAATAGAAATCTCAGTAAAAAAAAACTAAATAGAAATCAAACGAATTATTTGGCGATACCGCGTTAGCAGTGGCGCACAATTAACATAAAACGTCAAAACATTCGTCTGCAACACTGGCATCAAAAGAAAGACAATACGTGATGGGCGACGTTTCGCGCACCGGACCATCTCGTTTGTGTGCTATGAAGAAGGGCGACTGCCCGGAACGTCGTTTAAGGCCACACGCAAAGGTCATTGACGAATGCGCTGTGTTATTTTAAGTAGAAATTTAGAGCGTGGCAACTGCGGCGCACACGGATATCATGCAGACACGTCGGCACTTACTGTACGTATCATTATAAACAATGCGCACCATTGCGTGCTATCAATAACCAAATGATTGCAAATATTGCGGATTTACTCTCCAACGTACCGGTGGGCTGAAGTGACTAATTGGCACGTGTCGTTTACGTGGCAAACCTTACTGGCTGTGTCGGGTGGTGTGGAAGTTTTACGACACAACATTAATACTTACGCGATGTAACTCCCCCCCCCCCCCAAAAAAAAAACCCCTTTATTCTGATCCACATCATATTACGTTCAGAAACTCACGACAATCGTTGAGACGCTTTATCCGCACGTTCACATCTTCTCTTGCCCAGCAATCGTCTTCTTCTTCTTCTTCACACACCGAGGTGGCCCACTGCGACGATCCGATTCCATGCCGGGGCGATGGAACTCTAAAAACACCGTTGACAAAATAGAGCAGCAATCAAGCCACCACCACCACCACCCCACCCCACACCACACACCGAAATAATGCTGGGTTGGTTGGTTGGTGGTGGTGGCGGCCAGCCCTGACCACCCCACCACGCCTTACTCCACTCCAGATAAACACCGCTGATGTTTACTTTGGGATTGCCATTGACGTTGGGCCGCCGGCAATGAAGGGGCCGAAAAAGTTGGGGGTGGTTGGGCAAAGATGCCAACCCCCAAATTGCCCAACGAGCCCTTTCCTGTCACCCGCTATGCTCGACTGCCCCTCCACCTGCCCTTCATGCCCTACCGCCTGCCCTTCCACCCGCCCCTCTGCCTTGCCCACTGTCTTGTCCTTCCACCCGCCCCTCTGCCTTGCCCACTGTCTTGTCCTTCCACCCGCCCTTCTGCCTTGCCCACTGTCTAGTCCTTCCACCCGCTCTTCTGCCTTGCCCACTGCCTTGTCCTTCCACCCGCCCTTCTGCCTTGCCCACTGTCTAGTCCTTCCACCCGCTCTTCTGCCTTGCCCACTGCCTTGTCCTTCCACCCGCCCCTCTGCCTTGCCCACTGTCTAGTCCTTCCACCCGCCCCTCTGCCTTGCCCACTGTCTAGTCCTTCTACCCGCCCCTCTGCCTTGCCCACTGTCTTGTCCTTCCACCCGCCCCTCTGCCTTGCCCACTGTCTAGTCTCCTACCTGCTCGCCACCCCGTGTGCCCGCGCGTCTGTCTCTCGGCGCGTTTCTCTCCCCTCGTCTGAGGCTTTCGCTCTCTCCTCGTGCCCTTGTCTCTGTCCGTCACCACCCTCACCACCCCCAACAACAACAACACCACCGACGCCACCCTCCCTCCGCCCTCAAGCCGTCTCCTGTCAGTATCTCCGAGTGTAACGTGTGTCCACGTGAGTCCGTGTCTCGCCACGTGTCACTTGCCTCCGGGGCAGTATCTCCAGCTGTCTCTCACTCCGCCCGCTCTGTTATCCGTCCCGACTGTCCGCGTCTCACCCCCCCCGGGGGAGGGGGTCTCCCAAAGTGTCTCCGTCTGTCCACGTGTCTCCACGTGTCTGCGCGTGTCTCGGTGTCTGCGCGTGTCTCAACGTCTGTCTCGCCACGCGTCGCTCTGTCGTCTCCCGACTCTCGCTCTGCCTCGTGCGTATGCGTCTCCCTCTCTCTCTCTCTGCCTGTGTGTGTCTGTCCGTGTCCCCGTGTCTGTCCGTGTCCCCCCGCCACCCCGAGTGTCTCCCCGAGTGTCTCCCCGCGTCTCCCCCCCCTCCTCCTCCCCACCCCCTCCTCCCGCTGGGAGGTGAAACGCCGAGCGCTTCCGCGTGACGCCCGTTGCGCGGTGACGTCATGACGCACACCGCGGCGTCCGTTGCGCGGCCGACGTCGCGACGCACGCCGCGGCGTCCGTTGCGCGGTAACGTCACGACGCACGCCGCAGCGTCCGTTGCGCGGTGACGTCACGACGCAGCGTCCGTTGCGCGGTGACGTCATCGCGTTCGACGACGGCTCTCGGAGAAGCTGAGCGAGTGATTTTGTGTTTTTTTGTCGAGCAACGATCGGGATGGCCGGGGAACCATCGCGCACCAACAGGTGTTGTAGGTTATGTTGTCAGCAAGGCTTACACATTGCAACAACAACAATAACATACATTGCCGTGCGGTACTATGCCGCAACGTCTCTCCGCTATCCGCCCTTCTCAGCGTGGCTTGAAGTACGGTCAGATAACAACCACTCCCCTCCCCTTTGCGGGAGGCACTCATCCAGCAGCGGATTTAACAAAACGACTGCGCGCCTGTGCACGCGTTCGTCTTCGAATGCGGCCGTGCGTGGTGGTGCTGGCCACGCACAACCCCCTCGTGTGCCACAGTGCCGGCCTTCGTAGGTGCTCGCTCACAGCACTTGCCCCCTCTGCAGTCGACACAAGCACTGCTTCTCCCCAATGTTCCGGTTGGAATTGATAGTTTTTCATTGTTTCATTTATTTGGTATAGCCCTGTGAGCCATTCGGCTCTTGAATCGGGTGCAACCGCAACAAACAAAAAAGCTAAAACATGAACAAGAAAAACATCTTAAAGTGACTTTGTGCATGTGCAAACAGAAAATCCAGGAAAAAACATCAAAATATTCCTGAAATAGCACCGTACACCAACGCTGTGTGCAAAAATCCCAGTGGGATGCAAGTCAAACAACAACAACAAGAAAACTTAGATTAAGGCCATCAGTCTAACTCTGTACTACAATAAACAAAAACATGGCCAAACCAAAAAACTTTTAGAAATCACCAAAATAAAGCCATAAATGCAATGTAACAGTGATCATAGGAACTGTGACCGAATTTTTTACAAAAAAAGCTACCATACTGCCTCTACTTGATTACTGTGATATCGTGTATAAATCAGCCCCAAGTAATGTACTGAAGAAGCTCGATTCCATCTATCACTCGGCCTTAAGATTTGCATTGAACTGCCCATATAGGACTCACCACTGTGATCTCTACATTGGGTCAAACTTAACATCTCTTAATGTTCGACGGCTTGTGCACCAGATCTTATTTATTCACGATGTACTTACAAAAAAATCCGCAGACTACCTGCTGGATCTCCTCTCTGTTTCAAAGAACAAATTTGACCTCAGGTCTTCGCTCATTTACCAGCTTCACATTCCCTATTGCCGTACAAAAATCGGAGGAAGGGCCTTTGCTATTGATGCTCCCAGGGTCTGGAATGCTATTGCCAATAAACTGCAACTTGAATCACTACCTATGAGATCTTCACTCAAAACTGCTCTAGAGGAGTTGTACACCCCTAGCTGCCACTGCTATTCAGTGGCCTAAAATAAAATGTTTCGCTCCGGATGACCGCTGCAAAGTATTATCTGTATTTTGATTTAGTGTGCTGACCTTAAAGGTGCATTGAAAAATTTGATACTCCGACTGATGCTCCTGTTGTTGTGGAGTGACTCATGCAGCCAGCTATGGCTCTAGGGTTTGGTGTTACATGTTATTTATGTAGTTTATTGTAAAAAATTCGGTCGGAGTCCCTATGATCACTGTTACATTGCATTTATGGCTTTAGTTTGGTGATTTCGAAAACGATTTTTTGGTTTGGCCATGTTTTTGTTTATTGTAGTACGGAGTTAGACTGATGGCCTTAATCTTAGTTGTCTTGTGGTTGTTGTTGTTTGACTTGCATCCCACTGGGATTTTTACACACAGCGTTGGTGTACGGTGCTATTTCAGGAATATTATTGATGTTTTTTTTTCCCTGGATTTTCTGTTTGCACAGTCACATAGTCACTTTAAGATGTTTTCTTGTTCATGGGGGGCCCTTGTAAGTTTGTATTCATCATTCCACCATCATCGCCTGCTTGAAACAAACGATGATGGATCATCACCGTTCCAGAATGCACCCGGGACGGTGCTGATATAATAACAACAACGCCAGTGCGCTCGTGTGTGCGTGTGTGTGCAAGTTATGTTTTTTTTGTGTGACAAACCTCGCTATCTTGTTTATCGATCATAAACAGAGACAAAAGCCGCGAACACCGATCACGGATGACATCGGTGTAGCGAGTGATGATAAGAACCTCGTTTTTTGGGCCATCCCCTTAATTCTATATCTAACTCGGTCGAAAACGCAAAGCGTTGTGGTGCCTGTGTTTACGTGCTGTAGCATCAACACTGAGACAGAGAGAGAGAGAGACAAAGGCGTGTCGACAATAAAAGGGGTCGCTGGCACATGCAAATCGTTGTTACTATTATCAACCATCGCCATCCGCGTCATGCCGTGGCCTACGTGCGTCGAGCGAGCGCGACGAGAGGGCGCACGTGGACTTTAGCACCGCGCTAATGGCTCTCTCCGCCCCGCCTGTGTCTGTGTGAACACCAGAGTTATGCAGGTGTGAAACCACCCACACATACCTGTGTGGTGGGGGGGAGCGGTGGTGTGTGTGTGGTAAGTGTGCGAGTGGTGTGTGGGGGGTGGTGTGGGGGGGAGCGGTGGTGTGTGGAGCGGTGGGGTGTGTGTGGTCTCTGTGGTGAGTGTGGTGTGTGGTGGGGGGAGCGGTGGTGTGTGCGTGTGGTGAGTGTGCGTGTGGTGTGTGGCGTGTGTGTGGAGCGGTGGTGAGTGTGTGTGTGGTGTCTGTGGTGAGTGTGTGTGTGGTGAGTGTGCGTGTGGTGTGTGGGGGGGGAGCGGTGGTGTGTGTGTGTGTGGTAAGTGTGTGGTCTCTGTGGTGAGTGTGTGTGTTGTGAGTGTGTGGTCTCTGTGGTGAGTGTGTGTGTGGTGTGTGGGGGGGGGAGCGGTGGTGTGTGTGTGTGGTGTCTGTGGTGAGTGTGTGTGTGGTGAGTGTGCGTGTGGTGTGTGGGGGGGGAGCGGTGGTGTTAGTGATTATCGCGCTGCGCTACGAACCGACGGACCCGTGTTCGATTCCCGCTCACGGACGATTGTTTGAACCGGTTCTGGGCCAACCCAGGACGTGGTTCAAAGAATCGTCACTGGAATTGGCCACGAGCAGGAATCTAACTCGGGTTGCCAGGTTCGCAGTGCGCTAAACACCACACTACTAGTTTAACGCGTAGGCTTTCGCGACCAATATTATTCATAATAAAGGTTTTTTGGGTTAGATCGCGTTATTTATAAATGTGTCGTAACCCTCCACCACCCGACACGGCCAAACACTAAAAAATGTGTCACGTTTACAGAGAACAAATAGTTCACTGCTTTAGCCCACCGGTGTGTTGAAGAGTGAATCAACATCATTTAAAATTTGAGTACGACGTTTCGCTGGTAATTACATCCAGCATCATCGGGCAATTCGCCAGAATGGTGAAGCCCTCACTTGCTCCCGGTCTTAATGAGTTAAATTATGACGTCACCCTGCTGCTGCTCTATTTAAGACCGGGAGCAAACGAGGGCTTTACCATTCTGGCGAATTGCCCGATGATGCTGGATGTAATTACCAGCGAAACGTCGTACTCAAATTTTAAATGATGTTGATTCACTCTTCAACACACCGGTGGGCTAAAGCAGTGAACTATTTGTCCTTTGTAAACGTGACACAATTTTTACTGTTTGGCCGTGTCGGGTGGTGGAGGGTTACGACACATTTATAAATAACGCGATCTAACCCAAAAACCTTTATTATGAATAATATTGGTCGCGAAAGCCTACGCGTTAAACTAGTAGTGTGGTGTTTAGCGCACTGCGAACCTGGCAACCCGAGTTAGATTCCTGCTCGTGGCCAATTCCAGTGACGATTCTTTGAACCGGTCCTGGACTTCTCCCCCCCCCCCTACCTACGTTGACTCGGTCTCAAATGTGTACCCGGTGCGGTGTGTGAACATCGCCACCGGGGAGACAAAGGCCGCCGGGCGTGTGCCGTGCCGGCCTTTATGGGTGCTCGCTAACAGCACTTGCTCAACAATCTTGTTGATGGCTGTAGGGTAAAATCTTTTGTCTGTTGTTGTCGCCGTTTGTGTGTGTAAAGATCACGGCCAGACATCAACACACGAACTCTCCCTTGCGTAACACAACGAGTCTTATCATTATACTTCATAGAAAACGAATGTTTAACAAGCCCTGACTTTGTGGATGTGACCTATGATACAATTGGCCTGGAAAGGCCAAAAGGCTGATGAACTCAAATATATAAATATATATTTAAAATAAAGCATAGCCACGTATGCGTATTATACAGGGGTATAATAATCACATTGTCATCAGCCACTGTCAATCAACTGCTGAATGAAGGCCTCCCCCAAGCCGTCGCTACACCTTGACCCAAGCCCACTTACGTTCCTTAAGAGCAATAGTTTTAATGACTAGGGTGTGTACTCATATATGTAGATACTACTGACTATTGTATGTAGGGTGTGTAGGCATATATGTAGCTACTACTGACTATTTAATGTAGGGTGTGTAGGTGAATATGTAGATACTACTACTATTGTATGTAGGCATATTTGTAGATACTACTGACTTGTAATTAAGCATATATGTAGATACGACTGACTATTGTGTGTAGGGTGTGTAGGCATATATGTAGATACAGTACTACTGACTCTTGTGTGTAGGGGTCCACTTTCTATAAGTTTTAGATTCAAACCTTCTAAAAGGCTATCATTTAGTTGACGAACAAACGGAACGCCGGGCTTTTATAATAGACGCTACACGAAACTATCTGAGAAGTTTAATGTTAGGGATAAATTACAGAGGAAACAAACATTTGATTTTAAGGCGTCTCCCACCAGTCTCAATGTGCTTCTGGAACGTTTGAACTCTCCTCCACGGCCCACTTGCCTGCTCAGTCGCCCTTCGAGAGTGACAAGATGTAATAAACATCAGTGGAGTATCTATAATTATATCACCCTGCGTATATGTTACAGAACTTCGCCATGTCTCACTTGTTTATCCATTGTCGTCCTTCCCCCATTGTTATATCGGAATTGTGCTCTCGGCGCCGTGTCATCGCCACCGCTTTCATCTTTGCTTGATCCACCAACTCCCCGTCTGCAACACGCTGTGGCTGCTGCTGCTATATTATAATCAGCTTGTACTAGGTGAAATGCAAGTGTGCCGGGCTTTCAGGGGCAGAGGTGTGGAGCGGTGGGACGCAGTGATTAGCGCGTCGCTCAACGAACCCGGCAGCAGTGAGCCAATTCCGAGACCGGGCATCATCCCGGATGATTTGGCGCACGTGCAATGGGCGCATCGTATACAGCCGAGGGGGTGCAGCATATCAGTTAGCGCACTGAACCCGGCTACCCGAGCGCGGTTCTCGGCCACGGCTAGCATTTAGGTCGGCGAGATGTGAACACATATAGCGGACGGACGGACTGACATGGGAATGCGGCGCTGTGTTGGTTTACTTACTGCTGCTTATTTTCTCTACAACGTCTCAATTATTATTTTATAGGCAGACTCGAGAAAGGTCTTCAACGGAACAGGGACAGCACGGACGTCTTGTGTGGCGGAAGAGTTCCAGGCTTGAGAGGGCAGCAGCGGAGATTCCACCTCCCAGCACGATTTCCAAAGATTGGTTCGATCCGGTCACGCCGTGGTGATATTTATGCATCCGTGTTAAATTGTCCACGTTGAACAGTAAATGTGCGGTGCAGACATACCTAACTTAATGGACCATATCTCCGAGGTAAAAATAAATCTTAAAGCCGAGCCCATTCCATGAGGCATTCATGTTATCAGCACCCACATCAGCCACACACCTCCCTAACATAGATACACAAACGCGAGGAGTTGGCAACGCTTATTCACTCGAGCTGAAAGCGTTCATGAATCAGCTCCGTCTGCCTCAGATGTACCGGGAGGAAACTCTGCATCTCGTAAACGTGCCAATGAATAACTAAACACGAGTGTAAAATGTTGCTGCTTTTAAGGACGTGTGCCCCAAGGCCGTAATTATAATATATATTGGGGGGGACACATCTCCCCCCCAATATTTAAATGTGCTCAAAATGTCCCCCCCAATATATTGCTATAAAAAAAATAAAGTAATCATTACTATGCTATGTAAATAAAAACAATTTGCTAAACCTTGCCCACAATATCTGGACTTGTCTTCATATATCTCAATGCATAGATTTCTATTTATATGATTGTGGTTATGGTTGTACTTTATTCATCCCTAATCTCTGCCATTACATACAATGAAACAAGAAAAGGTAAAAAAAAGTAAAATCAGAGCAATGTAATACAATACACTATTAGACATTATTGTAAAAAAAAAAGTAAATCCCATGTGTTAGTGGATTTTTTAATATTTTAGGCAGGAAATGAGTTTTCAAATTTAGATTTTTTTTCTGGGTTGGGACCCCCAGACCCCCTGGAAGATTTGGTCCCCACCCCAATGTTGACTCCATGGCTGCGGCCTTGGTGCGCCCTATTGGAAACCGGCCAAATCTATCACCAACAAAAGCAACGACGAATATTTGCAAATACGCAAAAACACGTGTTACCCTGCCGGACATCCTTCGGCCTCCATACTGAAAATTAAGCAATGAAACACTTTCAAAGGCAAAGCCGCACGTTGGAAAGCGTGACATGATCAATCGGTATGGCAAGAATCGTCCTTATCTTTGTTCAATCCATTTGGGTTCCACGGCTTAAAGCGCCACCTGGCGGCTACACCGCTCCAATGCCGCTCACATCAAGTCACGTCCAAGGTTACTGAGCTCGCAGCTTCCAATGGAGTTGTGGCAACGCCGTGCAGCCGACTCGGTGCGCGCGATGCCGTGCGGTATCATTTGGTAACATGAAATATAATAAGCCCGACCCTGCTGATGAAATTCTGAAGGTCAAAACCGGTATTTATTTAACAAGCATGATTGTGCTGTTGGGACCGAAATATTGTCGAAAACGATCCAATTTGCTTGATTAAACAAAATGTCGCTTGATAATGTCGGTGTCATGGGACTCATACGTTTCACCTATATTTATAAAGACAATGGACTTTTTGCTTATATTGGCAAGTCTGATCACGCACTACATCCATTTAGAGTCTTGCAACTGTGAGAAATTATTTCCTTTATGCTAATGGTGATAGAACGAGGAAGACGGCACATAGACGAGTACACCTACAAACGAGTTGGTGCACATGAAACAATACAAACCATACTAACCAGACAATACGAGAGCACTGTTAAGGAAACTGATATTTTCAAAGGAGACACTACAAATGAGAGGGTAAAAATGATACAGCTGGATGAGACGAGATGAAACATGAGATCTTCGTAACCTCAGCCTAAATATATCAATTCATTGTAATAATTTACCCCACATTTCTATACATGTAAAGAAAATCACACTCCAAACACCAAAATAATATTTTAAACAAACACCAAAATAATATTTTAAACTTTTTTTATTATAATTTAACCATTGCAGAATTCCAAAACATTCACATTTTTTTTATTATCAAGCATATTAACCTGGACATACACCCACCGGAACCATCACCATCACCCATAAAAACCCATCACAAACCACGACCACCATCACCATAACCATCCATGCTGCATCCACCGGTAATGGAAGCATAACTGCGTGTCTGAGCTTCCATCCTTGACTCCATCATTTCCACGTGTCGTTCCCCTGACAGGAGGTATATCTATTGAATTGCACTGTTATGCAACACAGATGTGACCACGCTTTATGATAAACTCTTTCAGTGGTACGAAATTCACTTCTGGTGATCGTCAAACCATACGTAGAAGACATTTGAAAATATGACGCAAAACTTATTTGGTCATTGTCACTGACGCTATAATCAGTGGCGTAGCTATCGAGTGTGCAGGCGGTACAACTGCACCCAGGGCCCGTAGCGCCGAAGGCCCCAGGCACCGGCTTAACAAAGAGTGGCGAAATGGGCGAAATTGAAAAGGGGGCTCCATTGCATTCCATGCACCAGGTCCCATGTCAACCAAGATATCGCACAAAATCATCTCTTTACAAATGATATGGCTTTCATACCTAGGCTTGCATAAATAACATTTCATGAGATTGTGTTTGTGTGTGCAGTCATTGGACATAAGGTATGTTATCACCAAAACCTGCTACACAAAAGAACCCGGTTTCTTTTCAATGTCAGGATTCCCAACCACAGGATTTTAGTGCTACTGGCTCACAGCTACGACAGCCATTATGAGTCACCTGAGCCAACAAACCCATCTCCCGCGTGCAAGTGGTTTCTCGGAAGTGGAATGGAAGTTAAGCAGTTGAGGGAAAAAATAATATTAAACATCTCTGGCATGGGGGGGGGGGGGGCAAGGGGGATAAAGGGATATTTACTTAAAAAGTCAAAGAGTTCCCATGGTCAAACAAGGCACTGGGTGATGCTCATCTCTTTTGGTGGCCCTGAGTCAGTGGTGGAAATTCCACATTCCTATGGCCGGGCGACACTGTACTTTATCACAATTGGATAGGTTGCCAAATCTCTTGAGAACCCATCCTCACTCAGGGGTTAATAAATCCCACTGTGGGAAATCAAAAGTGATTGCTCTTCCCTTCATCAAATCTGCAACACGAGCCCCGCGGCCGAGATGTTGTCCCCGCCGCCCACAGTCTGGAACACGTCCGTGCACACGAGCACGGGCGCGACGCACAGCTCATACGTGCGGCCGCGTCGCCCCCCGGCTCCCCGTCCGGCCCGCTTCTCGTCATCGTCCTCGCCCTGCGCGTCGTACCCCCCGTCGGCCTCTCCCGCGTCGTAGTCGACCATCTCCTCCTCCTCCCAGCACGCCACGGGGCGGTTGGGGTCGACGGCCACGCGGCGGCTCTCGGGCCCGCGGCTGGCGGCAAACGAGTCGTCCATGATGAGCCGCGCCTTGGCGGCGTCGATGTCCGCGGAGCCGCACACGTGCCGATTGGCCGTGAGTGAGGCCTTGGCGGCCGCCGACATCCCCGACTTCCAAGTCGAGTTGCGAGCCGTCATGATCGCCTGTCGCGTGCAGGAAGAGGGGCGAGGGCAAGGTGGCTGCGGTAAGGGCAAGCGTGAGCAAGGGTGGATTTCTGCGATGACTTAACCGGGTCCTAGGACAGCGGTAGTGCAACGCGCTAACCAATGCGCTACCGTGAAACCTGGCGACCCGTTTCAAATCCTGTTCACCGCCAACACCAGTGACGATTATCTGAACCGGTCATGGGACTCCCCTAGGTTGACTTATCCTCATATGAGTGCCTCGCGCGATGCATAAATATCGCTACTTAGGCAGATAAAGGTGGTTAGGCATGGTGTGCCACTTTCTCATGTACTGTACCAGCCTGAATACAGTGAAGGAAAAAAGTATTTGATCCCCTGCTGATTTTGTACGTTTGCCCACTGACAAAGAAATGATCAGTCTATAATTTTAATGGTAGGTTTATTTGAACAGTGAGAGACAGAATGACAACAACAAAATCCAGAAAAACGCATGTCAAAAATGTTATGAATTGATTTGCATTTGAATGAGGGAAATAAGTATTTGACCCCTCTGCAAAACATGACTTATTACTTGGTGGCAAAACCCTTGTTGGCAATCACAGAGGTTAGATGTTTCTTGTAGTTGGCCACCAGGTTTGCACACATCTCAGGAGGGATTTTGTCTCACTCCTCTTTGCAGATCTTCTCCAAGTCATTAAGGTTTCGAGGCTGACGTTTGGCAACTCGAACCTTCAGCTCCCTCCACAGATTTTCTATGGGATTAAGATCTGGAGACTGGCTAGGCCACTCCAGGACCTTAATGTGCTTATTCTTGAGCCACTCCTTTGTTGCCTAGGCCGTGTGTTTTGGATCATTGTCATGCTGGAATACCCATCCACGACCCATTTTCAATGCCCTGGCTGAGGGAAGGAGGTTCTCACCCAAGATTTGATGGTACATGGCCCCGTCCATCGTCCCTTTGATGCGTTGAAGTTGTCCTGTCCCCTTAGCAGAAAAACACCCCCAAAGCATGTTTCCACCTCCATGTTTGACGGTGGGGATGGTGTTCTTGGGGTCATAGGCAGCATTCCTCCTCTTCCAAACACGGCAAGTTGAGTTCATGCCAAAGAGCTCCATTTTGGTCTCATCTGACCACAACACTTTCACCCAGTTGTCCTCTGAATCATTCAGATGTTCATTGGCAAACTTCAGACGGGCATGTATATGTGCTTTCTTGAGCAGGGGGACCTCGCGTGCGCTGCAGGATTTCAGTCCTTCACAGTGTAGTGTGTTACCAATTGTTTTCTTGGTGACTATGGTCCCAGCTGCCTTGAGATCATTGACAAGATCCTCCCGTGTAGTTCTGGGCTGATTCCTCACCGTTCTCATGATCATTGCAACTCCACGAGGTGAGATTTTGCATGGAGCCCCAGGCCAAGGGAGATTGACAGTTCTTTTGTGTTTCTTCCATTTACGAATAATCGCACCAACTGTTGTCACCTTCTCACCAAGCTGCTTGGCAATGGTCCTGTAGCCCATTCCAGCCTTGTGTAGGTCTACAATCTTGTCCCTGACATCCTTGGAGAGCTCTTTGGTCTTGGCCATGGTGGAGAGTTTGGAATCTGATTGATTGATTCTGTAGACAGGTGCCTTTTATACAGGTAACAAGCTAGGATTAGGAGCACTCCCTTTAAGAGTGTGCTCCTAATCTCAGCTCGTTACCTGTATAAAAGACACCTGGGACCCAGAAATCTTTCTGATTGAGAGGGGGTCAAATACTTATTTCCCTCATTAAAATGCAAATCAATTTATAACATTTTTGACATGCGTTTTTCTGGATTTTTCTTATGTTATTCTGTCTCTCACTGTTCAAATAAACCTACCATTAAAATTAAAGACTGATCATTTCTTTGTCAGTGGGCAAACGTACAAAATCAGCAGGGGATCAAATACTTTTTTCCCTCACTGTAGGTGCTCCCAAACAGCACTTGCCTTCTCCGGCTGTTAAGGTTATACGGGGGATCTTCGACTTTGTCATAACTTAACCAATCCAGGAACCTTCACCAACCCCACGCTGACCAGCGCGGTCAAGTAGGTATGACACAAGACCCACAACGAACACGATTATGTGTGTGGAGAGAGGCCCACTTCCAGCAGCGGCTATACCAACGGGGGCGGGGGGGGGGGTGGGGGGGGGGAGCCGTCACGTGTTGACGTTCGCGTTTCCCACGAGCGCCCACCTGGAAGGCGAGCGTGTGGACGTGGAGGCGGGTGAGGAGCCGCCCGATCCCCGCGCGGCGCTGGCGGGCCCTGACGGCGCCGTACACCTCGCGCATCTGGTCGAGCACGGCGGCGACGCGGGGGTTTGCGTCGGCAACCAGCGTGACGTCTCCGCCGGCGAGGAGGCCGCGAAGGTTGGGCAGCTCCTGCTCGTTCATGCCCAGCGAGTCGGCCGCCGGCAGCAGCAGCTCGTCCAGCAGCTCGGCGAGCAGCGACGAGTCCGAGAAGGACGCCATCTCAAAGTGGACGAGGGCGTCGCCGCCGTCGGCGCCAGCGGATGAGGAGCGGGCGGCCAACATGGAGGCGCGCACGGCCCGCAGCCTGCGCACACGCTCGCCTGTCGCGTGCACGGCCAACGTGGACGTCCAAAAGAGCGTCGCGGTGAAGGTCAAGGTGAAGATCGTCGTCGTCGTCGTCAAAACTTCTCGATGCCACCACACATCAGCATCGCTTTCCACCGTCTGCCGGATGCAGCAGCTAATAAAACTAAAACAATGTATTTGTTTTTACCAGGTAAGGCTCACTGAGCTATAGATATAATTTTCAGAAGCGACCTGGACACAATCGTGTGGAAATTTAAAGCCGCCAAATAATCTAAATGCATGTTTCTAAATGAAGAGGGAAAAACCGGACACGGAGAAAAATCCACGTGAACACGGGAAGAACACGCAAACTCCAAATAAACAGGCATCAGGGTCGGGATCGAACCCACAATCTCCTGTATACCAGGCAACGGAGTTAACATCTCACCAACGTGGCTACTGCAGTCATCTGAGTTTCATTTCAGCCGCAACAGTCCGGAAGGCTGTCCCGGAAATTATTTTGCCGCGCCGCATCCATCCTTTGCCCGATTTTGTCCGTCATGATATTTGTTGTCCTCGTGTGATTATAAAATAAAAAAATATTAATCTTGTCAAAGGAAAGGGAGGGGCATGGAGTGACGCGTGAACGCGAGACACAGGAGGACACCACGGTTGAGATGGGAAAATGAATTGTGCGCAGGGGGGAGGAGTGCAACTGACCTCGCGCAGCCAGGCAGGCAGGACAGCGGGAGGAGGAAGAGGAGGAGCAAGAAGAGGAGGAGACAAGAGCGGGAGACCAGAAGAGCGGCCGCCTACAGTGACACGCATGCAATGCCGCTCGAGAAACTTGCACCACACACCGCTGAACACTGCAGGAAAAAACGCACGTGGGTTGGGAAAACCAAGCCACGTGTGGTCTGCACCGCACAAACATGCCGAGTCGGCCAAGACTTACCAGGAGGGAAGGGAAAGTTGTCCATCATCTGGAGTCCTCCGACGACAAGCAGCGCCGGCTGGAAGGCGGCGAGCTCGGAATGAAATGCCTCCAGCGACTCCAGCCGGGCATTGTGGGTATCGCTGTGCACGATGAACCTGAGTGGCGGCAGCAATGCAGAGGTGGGGGTGGAGAGGGGGTTGGTTTTAGCGGAGCGCGGTGATTCATTGTGTTCGTACAGCCGTATGTCAGTCCGCTGCAGGATGAAGGCCTCCCGAAGCCACTGCCATCTCTCACGGTCATGCAATGTAAAAATTTGAACGGTTTTATATTCAAATGTATTTCCTGAAATACAAGTACTTAGATTGACTGTTATAGCTGAACGTTCTCATATTTATTAAGGTTCTGTACACTGTTGCTATTGAACTCTGAATACATGTTTGCTGCATTGCTTTGATTAACCGTGGCTCACCTAGTTATGCAAATAAAATGAGCAGGCCAGGTGGTCCAGCACCACGGTCCGAATTTTCCCAGTTTGCAAATTTACTTAAATTACTAAATTGGGAAACAAATAGTAATCGCCACCCCCTACTGTGAAAATTAGTCTCGAGACTCAGTTACACATTTCTAGATCAAATGTAAACATAATTAAAATACACAGATGAATATGAATTAATTTTTGTTTATCCTGTTTGCAGTAAGTGCTGGCATGGGTTTCATGTAAATAACCTTAGTTTTTTTTCTTCATGTTTGCACATTCCCTCCCTGCAATATTGTGGAAACCACACCACTGCCAATGGTGTTGAGAATGTGTTCGTCCTTGTAAAAGAGCTGCTGAGCTGAGTGGGTCTTTACCAGCTGAAACAAAGTCTAAATCACGCGAACAGCAGTGGAACGGCAGATGGCAGAATTGGTAGCACGGGACAGGGGTGGCATAAGAGGGGCAACGGAAGGGATGTGCTGCATCAATCACGTGCCTGTTGGCGCGCTTGGATGTGTAGTTCCCCCAGCGAGCGCCCGTGGGATATTCGAGGATCAGGTGAGTGTCGGCCTCCTCCACGGGCTGCCCGGCCACTGCACACGCATGCGTGCACAACGCAACACCGGCCATGCAACACCAAGCCACACAACGCAACACCAAGCCACACAACACCACACCAGTCCGACAACACATTGCAACACACCAGCCACATAATGCAACACCAGGCAGACAACACGAGGTTTCCACGACCGCTTTTTGCACTTTGTGCCGTTAGGGTGTGGTAAATGAAAAATATTTAAGAGCGGCACTGCAATTGCCTGCTCACCTCACTGCTGGCAGAGAGTCCTCCACTAGAGGGAGCTATAGAGAGCCCCTCTAGAGAGTATTTTAGGCTCTTCTTCCACACTGGCCAGACACCTTTGAAGAGGTGGGAGTTTCCACGTTTTAACTCGCCATATGTGACCTGCCAATCGACTGACTGTGGTGCACCCATTTATACTGCTGGATGGACAGAGGCAGGGGGGATTTTAGAACCTGCATCAATGTGTCAACTACCGTGCTAGGAGATCGAATGAACTGGCGAGTCAAGTGTGCTAAACAGCACAGCAAGGCAGCACATGCAGCGTTAACATGTGGAGTCGATTACGATTTCCACTTCGAGCTCAGTATGTACCATCATCACAGACTGGATCTATTCAACATTCAAGTAGAGCGAGGGGAACAAGGCGACAACCTGACCGATCAACTCACAGAACAACTGACTGACCAATACACCAAGAGACAGACCTGCCAACCAACATATTAACCAGCAGACTGACCGACTGACTGACCGCCTGATCAACAGACAGACCGACATGCCGACCGACCAACAGACCGCCCCGAATGGCAGACTGACCTCTAACCTCTGGCCTCATAACCTGCAGGAGGCTGTGGGGGAGACGCGCTCCGAGCAGAACGTCACAGCCCTCGGACGCCATGCGGTTCGCCATAACGGGGGCGTTCCCTCCGAGTGACCAGCGAGCGCCGGGCACAAGCGCCGCCTCTTCGGCCAGCCGGCGGAACAGCGACGCGTTGGAGATGAAGCGCCTTCACACGGCACGAAATCACGAAGACAACGATCCCACGCCTACACACACTGTTGGTGGCAAGTGCTGTTAGTCGGCATCTACTAAGGCCGACGTGTGATACGAAGGGGATGGTGAGGCTAGTACCATGCCCCGGCTGCCTTTGTCTCCCCAGTGCTGATGTTTACATGCTGCACGAGGTAATCATCAATGGCCGAGTTGACGGTCTTGTCCATCAATCATAATCCCTTCCAGCATGCGTCCTGTACGTAACTTTTGTTTCACTTATAATTATCTTGAAACCCAACTCTACAGTCATCTTTTTTTATTACTATTCCACAACAAATCCCTGTAGTTTCATGGGTTGTATTGCATATGTTATTTATATTTAAAAAAGTCTAAGTACATCATTTTTCCAATTATAGTTTAAGCCTTTATTTCCCCCATCCAGTTTTCGGAAAATATCTTCCTTGAACGAGCTTGGTAAGAGCGTATCTCCCTGACTAACTCATTAATCTCATTTGTATCTTGTTACTTTCTTTCTGCAATCTCAGCACTCGCTATAGCATGTTTTTAAATGGTTTTGATTATTTTATGGAGACCTCGTTTTACTAAGGTCTTATTGGTGTGGGAGCCCTTTGTGGCTTGCATTCGTCGGATTATACACGCATACATACGTGGGATTATACATTGTCAGTGACTGTATTGCGATATTCGTGTTCCTATCAGCTTCAAACCGAAGCTCTTGACCGCCGGTTGCGACATCTGAAAATTCAAATCGTTAGCATGTGTAGTTTATACAAATTTACAATGCAAAATATTTCAATTTTAAGCAACAGCAGAAGCTGCCACGCAACATCGCCAAAGAGCGGTGGTGCGCGGGAAGCGGTTTAGCGCGAAACGCGTCAAGCAGAAAACCAGATAAATATTAAGTTTAAAAAAATAAACACTCACGCCCGGTGGTATTTAAGAGCTGTGGGTCACTGCAAGTTGGCCAAGTCACACCAGCCCATGAATAGGATTGTTATAATTCAACTTTTAGTTGCCAATGAATCCAGCAGCCAAACTAAAACTACTCATCGGAGACTCCAAGAGTTGTGGGAAATGCATCCCAATCCATCCTGTGAGGCTCCCTTATTTTTGTTATATAAACAAGGGTATTTCAGCTTGCGGATCAATATTTTCACCATGGAAAAATAGCACTTGAGAGGTTGTTTTGGGTTGAATATTTCTTTCAAGTGCCGTTTGCGACCAGCTATTAGGGTTGCCTGGTTGGCTTTGCGTCCTAACGAGCATTGATGTTCACATCACCTTACAAAGTACTGTACCCATATTCTGGACCGAGGCAGCCAAGGGGGAGGGGCCCATATTGTAGAAGGCAATTGGTATCACAGCCAGGAATCAAACTTTGGTCGCCAGGATCAGTGCATTAGCCGTGAGGACACCACTCTCCACTAGGAAAACGTGAGTGTTTACACGGCGCACGTTAAATGAAACGTGCGGGGAATAAATAAACCCCCCAGCGCAATTACACCCCAGGGACTGGTGAATAAATGCTTCTCTTTAATAAGCACGAGTTTTGAACAAAAATAACTCTATGCAAGCATTAAGTACAGGGAGAACATGCAAGCACGGTGTGAGCACTAAATTGAATGGGTAATTATTGTTCAGTTAATGACAGATTGAAAGAAAAGTTAATGACAGACTTCTGTGTCCGTACACAGCTTGCGCAAGAAACCAGTTAGAACGATAAGGTTGCACCGCATGAGGCTGAACCAACGCATCCAAGAGATCCCTCGTTTCATTCGAGAAATCCCCGTCTCAACCGCTACAGAACCCTCATTACATCAAAAAAATAACCCACTTCTTGCCTACGGTGACATCATATGTATTGATTCAAATGTTCACATTCAAATCGAATATAGTGCATGATTGTTACGTTGAAAACTAGGAAGAAAAAACCCATACTCTTTGGTTCTATTCGGTAAAGTCACGTAGGTAAAAATAAAATTACCTACGTGACTTTACCGAATAGAACCAAAGAGTATGGATCCTTGCAGTCACGAAAGCTTCAAATCTAGAAGAAAAAAAAACCCAGTTTAACCAGGACTGGCTGGACCAGGATTAGAACCCAGGGTGTTGTTGGCACCAGGCTCAGTGTCTTCGAGCCACCGTGGTTAATGGGACAACAGCTCATACGCTCGTGTGTGTGTGTGTGTGTCAAGTGGTGGCTCAGTGGTTAGTACACTGCACTACGAACCTGGCTACATGAGTTACATTTCTAGCTACAGCTGAAATCAGTAGCTTAAATCTGAACAGGGTCTGGGCCTCCCTTAGGTCAATTCAGACTTAAATGAGTAGCTGCTGCAGTGTGTAAACACAAGCACTGGCAAGACAAAGGTGGCCGGCCATGTTGTTTCTGACCAAGCCATCCCATTGTGCTCTGTGTTGGACTTCATAGGAGCTCACCAAAAAGCCTACGTAGGCTGCACGGGGGATGTTTGTCTTTTGGTGGAGCGGTTTTCCATCTGCTTACCCATAACATCTGGGGTCTGTCTTGCGACTTATGGCCAAGCAAGCTTTCGGCGCAAGCGCTAGGGAACCATCAGTTTGTGGTGAATGGTGGCTGTTGTTGTTTTGTGTATAGAGAGGGGTGTTTGTATATGTAGATGTGTGTGCGAGGGTTAAACAGTCTGTTAACAGATATTTGGGAATCTTTGTGTGTGTAAGTGTGTACGTGTGCGGGGAGAAGTAGTGTAGTGGTTAGCGCACTGACCTATGAACACTGGCGACGCGAGTTCGATTCCCGCTCATGACGAAAAACTGGTGAATATTTTAACTGGTCCTGGGCCTCCCCTGGGTCGACTCAGCCCTAAATGAGTACGTGGTAGGGTGTGAAAAGAAAAATGCAGTCAGGCATGGTGTTGGCCACCAACCCCCTCATGCACCATGCTGGCCTTCATAGGTGCTCGCTTGCAGCACTTGCTCCAACAGTCTGCAATTGGCTATATGGGGGATCATTGTCTCTGCATGCATGCATGCATGCATGTGGTGTGCGGATGTGTGGAGAGGTTGCGTAATGTTGCGTGCATGCGCACATGTGAGCGCGTGCGCATGTGTGCCTGCGTGCACGTGTTGCGGCGCGTGCACGTGTTGCGGTGCGTGCACGCGTAGGGGCTTCGCACTCTGCGGCGGCGCCGTGGGGGAAGAAGTAGGCGAAGGTTTGTGCCAGCTGCTGCTCGTCGGCGATGAATCCGTGGTGCTCGGCCTTCCCGCTCGGCTCCACCCCGAGTCGCTCCAGCAGCGCCACGCCGTCCACCACCCAGTCCAGGCAGCCCCCAAACCCTGGTGGCGCGCGCACACGCAGTGTCCGTTTCGTTTGCGAAATTGGTGACGAACATATTCGCCAACCGAGTGTGTTGATTGTTATTGTTTCAGTCAGAGATGGAAACGAGTGAACGGAATGATCAAGTGTGCCGATGACTACGACTGCCCACTGGATGACTGCCCACCAACGTGGCTGTGATGAGACAAAGTCGACGAGTCTGAATGAAGACGCAAACTGAGATAATATGGTAACGGGGACCGGGGGTGCACCGAGGAAGGCTAAACATGGTTGTTGGCAATACGGTAAAACCTTGGATTGCGAGTAACTTGGTCTGCGAGTGTTTTGCAAGACGAGTACAATTTTTAAATAAATATTAATTTGATAAACGAGCGAGGTCTTGCAATACGAGCAGTACGTATACACTCTGTCTGCCGAGCGTCACATGATCACAACTGATATACGAGTGTTTTGATATACGAGTGTTTTGGATTACAAACACGTTTCCGGAACGAATTATACTCGCAATCCAAGATTTTACTGTATATGTATATCACAAGATTTACCGAGTCCAGTGACTGGCTGACCTGATAATATTGGGGGGGGGGGGGGGAGGATTGTATGCCCCTGACACTAACATTTGATAACTAAGATTGGACTGTATATGACTGCAATACACTTCACATCCTCTCATCCAGGCATAGCATCGTAGGCCCGTGGTGATGACGATGTTGATCAAGCTGAATAAGGATAACAGATGAATGACTATGACCTTTAGACAGGTTCATACCACATCCTCGGGTGATTCAATAAATCATCATGATTCAGTATCGTGATCCTATTAAAAAGAACGTTGATTTTTGTCTCTTTTAAAAAAAATCGCACGATTTTTTTCTCTCGCTCCGTTAGCTTCAATATATAAATACAAAAAATCCGCCAGCGTAGGAATCCATTCCAATCGATGAATCGACAATGCGCCCCTCGTTACGCCTGCTGTAAAGCATTTAGAAACATCAATATCAAATCCATGCGAGACAACAAACCGCAAATCAAAACCGCAACGATGTCGCATTTGTTAGATCGTCTGTTGCCTCCACCCTGCAAGGCCCCCTTCTCGTAGGTGGGGTGTTGGCGGCACCTGACCTCTGAACCGTGAACGCGTGGCACAAGACATACTCCAAGGCTGCGTGTGCGTGATTCGTAATAATAATTAAAAAAACATTATATAATCCTAAAAGCTGGGCCGTGTTAACTTCAGCTGTACACGTGGAGCTCATTCCTTGCGGCTGCCAATCCAGGAAATAGAACACGTGCATTATATCAACCCCCATCTCTCCACACACACACACGCTAGACATTAGGATATTATACATGTACAGTACAGAGTCCTTCTGTCAATCCACTGCTGGATGAGGTGCTTTCCCGCACCGTGTGGGTGCCAAGGTTCGCATGACAGCTCCTGTTCCACGTGCGCCTCTTTCTGTTGCAAGGGTCTAATTAAAATTTTCCCTTTGCCAATGTTCATGTTTATATATTGATGACACTAATACAGCAAAATGTCGAACATGTAATTAATACTCCAGGATAAGGTGTTGGGTCTTGCAACATCACACCTCGAAGCCATGAGTCATTTAAACGCCGTACGCTCAGTAGTGCTAACTCATGCGGTATACATTAAGCTCCAGCCTTATAATATTAACTGCAACCTTTCTCTAACCTTCTACTTATAGTGAGATTGCTGAAAAAAAACACATGGTACTGCTTTATTAAAACGTGGCCTTACAAACCCTAGGGAATTCTCTTGGTGATAATTGTTGTCAATGTATGTATGTTCAACTTATTTCGCACCGTGCAAAGCTAACCGCGCTGATCGGAGGTACATGGTCAATCGTGCCAACTCGCTACGATGTGTGGAAGCAGCATTGCTGTGCGTGTTATCATGCACACGTGGCTTGGGTCAGATGTAAAATGTGTGTCATAAACCCTCCTCCACCCGACAGCTGGAGAGCAATCGCACAACATTTAACAATTTGGTACGACGTTTCGCTGATAAGTTACAACCAGCATCATCAGGCATTTGCCAGAATCAATAAATATACACTTCTTATATTGATCCGCATATTTCATGCGGAAAACACCGCAGAACATAGCTTTTATCCCAGCCTCTGCATGTAACGATAAGCTTACCTTCGACTGTTATTCCGCAATCCAGCTAAGTGGTGAAACTCAACAGCAGAGCGAGCGGAATTTGGAAGGTTTCGAAATCTAATCGTGGCTTTGGGGTTGACTCAGCCCAACATCCCTCCGGGGTTGATAAAATGATTACCATTGTGTGGGGAGAGTGGGAGAAAGCAACAGTGGTTGGCCGATGGATAGACTCACCACTGCCATGTTAATGTGGATGTTCCACCACTGGCTCAAGAGGACTGCGAGCATGTGAAGATCATTGCCTCAATGGTAACGAGCAGGAACTAATTATGCTATGTTATTGATCACGTATGCCACGTCCCGAGCAGGTGCCACACCAGGTCCAATTATATAATCACCAATGTTGCTCTTCACTTCACCGTATCCTTAGCACCGCAGGTAACAGTTACAGGATGTAACTAAGGTTACCCTACCCACCTCTGGGTATCCTACCATGCAACACGTTACATTATAAGCCAGCCCATGTCCCCCAGGAATGTGTCCTGCACATACCATTTAAACTGTAAGTGACCTTACGGTACCCAGTCCATCCTTGGGGGTACACTACAAAAGAAGCGACGATTTACCATCGCTGCCCCTCCTCCGAGCGAAATGACGAATTGTGAGAATGTGGAGTCCAGGTATCCCATCCTATCCTGGTGTCCCACAGATACCCCCCTTACAGCGAGATGCCCCTCAAGTGATCCCACACACAGGCAACCCCTCGGTCTACCTCGCACCCATATAGCCCTTCAGGGGAGATGTTATACCCCCATGTTCCCCAGGCACAAGTATTTCCCAGGTAACCTCTCCCAAGCAGATATCCCCCCCCCCCCGTCGCTCATACAGGTGTGCATCCCGTGTGTACAGGTGTGCATCCCGTGTATACAGGTGTGCACCCCGTGTACATGTGTGCATTCCGTGTGTGCAGGTGTGCATCCCGTGTGTACAGATGTGCACCCCAAGTACACAGGTGTGCACCCCGTGTGTACAAGTGTTCACCCCAAGTACACAGGTGTGCACCACGTGTGTACAAACTCGCACCACATGTGTACAGGTGTGCACCACGTGTACAGGTGTGCACCACGTGTGTACAGGTGTGCAGCACGTGTGTACAGGTGTGCAGCACGTGTGTACAAACTCGCACCACGTGTGTACAAGTGTGCACCCCAAGTACACAGGTGTGCACCACGTGTGTACAAGCTCGCGTCACCCTCCACCCCCGGACTCCCCTCACAGCCCCCGACACCAGCCCAGGTTACCGATGGCGACGCGGGGCCTCGCGGGCCTCGAAGTCCGCGCCTCGGCCCGCAGGAGCGCCGAGAGGACGTGGTCGAGACGCACGGCGGCTGGGCCCCTCAGCGCCGCGTCCCAGGTCTCCGGCATCCACAGGGCGCCCAGCACGGCCACCACGGCCACAAAGCCGCCCGCCGTCACCAGCCCGTACGCCATTCTCACCCCCTGCTGCTGCTCCTGCTGCTGCCGCTACTCCAGGGGCTTGCTTTGATTTGTTTATACCGAACTCGGACTGTTACTTTGCTCTTGGTCTCGCACCGCTCCTGGTACCAATCTCGCCTTGGTTACCGGTCTGGTCTTGCCTCTGGTATCGGTATCCGCTCTTGCTCCTGGTACTAATCTCGCGTCTGGTCTTGCTCTGGAAATTGGTCCTGATCTTGGTTCCCGGACCCCCCTGTCTGTGTGGGGGTCCCGGTCTGGGTGCAGGTCCCAGCTGATGTGAACCAACCGGACCTGCCGTGCCACGCTGTTGGTGCGTTGGTTGCCGCGGGCGTTCCGGGTGCGACACGTGGGCGTTGTGACGTCACCCCGGGTGCGACACGTGAAGCCGAAGACGCCATCTTGCTACGGGGTTTTTATTTTTAGATTTTTATTTTTAAAACAAAATTGTAAGTGAAGATTTTGATTTAAAGCTTTCGTGACTGCAGTAATTCATATTCTTAGTTTTTTCGGTAAAGTCACGTTGAAGAGAAACAACAAAATAACAAAATATATATAAAACAATAAAAAATTCTCACGACGTTTCGACCATAACTCAAACGGTCATCATCAGGTGTGTCGGTGTGCAAACCGACACACCTGATGATGACCGTTTGAGTTATGGTCGAAACGTCGTGAGAATTTTTTATTGTTTTATATATATTTTGTTATTTTGTTGTTTCTCTTCAACGTGACTTTACCGAAAAAACTAAGAATATGTAAGTGAAGATATCAAACAAACTCACACAAACACACAACACGCACGCGCGATTGATCTTCCACGGAGCTCACGGCCGGACCCTGAATCGCATCCGCTGCACAAACCGTGGCAGTAGATTGCGTATTACCCGATGTACACAAATGGAAAATTAAACAAAAACACTCTGGGCCGTCCATAAATGACGTCACGCACTTGGGGGGGGGGGGGTCAGACATTTGTGACGATGTGTGACGAGGGGGGGGGTGAGATACGTGACGTCACATCAAAATGCGCAACTTTAAATAAATTAATTAAGTATACTTTTTAATAAATATTTTCTCCTACCACATCAGAGTGCAGCGCCACATTAAATACGCACTACAATGACAATAGTTTAAAGCGATTTGAAACATGTTTGGGGGGGGGGGGAATCTTTGTGACGTCATATATGAGGGGGGAGAGGGGGGGGTCTGACTTTTTGTGACGCCGTGTGACGAAGGTGGGGAGGGGTCAAAAATCGTCCAAAATCGCGTGACGTCATTTATGGACGGCCGTAGTAGTGTGTGACTGTGGTCATCCAGACCGTGCCGAAACAACGTGTAACGACGCAATGCCCCGATCCACAAATACAAAGGCAAACCTGTCAACCCCCTGATTAGTGCCTTACCTTATTACTGATCAATTCAGACCTTATTGGTCCCCCCCCGCCCCCATGCCCTTATAAATCTAAACGTTCATCCTGCAAAGTCCCATCACAAGTGAGAAACACAAACACATAGATACAATCTAGATTTGAAGCTTTCGTGACTGCAGGAATCCATACTCTTTGGTTCTTTCGGTAAAGTCACGTAGCTAGAAAATGTATAGAGATCACGACGTTTTCGATCGCAACACAAGCAACCGTCATCAGGTGCGACAACCACAGCAGGAGAACTGCTGACGGTTGCTTGTGTTGCGATCGAAACGTCGTGATCTATTAACTTTCAATCTACGTGACTTCACCAAATAGATATTATTAATTTTTTGTGCCCTTGTTGAAACGCCTGTACGCCGTATGGACATTAAATGAAATGTCCCTGTACAAGAATACGGGGTAACCCGTATGGGTCTACGGGTATGGTATAGTAATGTATAGTGCAGTGTATAGCAAACCTGTCAACCCCCTATCAGTTGCGAGCTTATTCCAGGCCAATTCAGACCTTATTGGTCACCCCGTGCCCTTATAAATCTCAACGTTCATCCTACAAAGTCCCATCGCAAGGAGAGAAACACAAACAAATGGATATGTGGGGGCCGCTGTCCCCCGACTCCTCCGTTACGATCGCGCTACTACCCCCCGACTGCTCTGTCGGGTTCGGGCTACCGACCCCCAATTCCTCGCCCCCCTGTACCCCCGACTTTGTTGCTGCCCCCGTAGGCATGGTTCAATTGGTGGGGCCGACTGCTTTACGCTTACGACGCGCTACGCGGTGCTCAGTGGCGGACGCGCCGCTGTGAGCGCGCCCGCGGAAGTAAAACCCCGTCTCGTGCGTAAACAAAAGGGTACAGCGCGCCGACGCATGACTCCGCGGCCGGCGCTTAGCCCCCCGGGATCCGTTCACACACACGCCCTACGTGCCCAGGCACTAACAAACCCGACTCCGCTACCTGCCCGGCTCCGTACACCAATCACACGCGAGGGACTTGGGGTCAGAGGTTAGAGGGCAGGGGTGTCCACCGTACGCGCGCCGCTGATTGGAGGGAGTCCGCCCCGATTTAAAGGCCGTTTAAACAGCCGCGCTTGTACGCGAACACCAGGCGCTTCACCCTCCTCTTCACACTCACAAAGACCACACAACACAGTTTATCCTCTACTGGCGATTTTATTCCCCCCGCGAATGACCCGCTAACTACGCGTGTTTGTGTGGGTCAGCAGACACTAGCCTATCCCTTGGCGATCCGGGACTCAATTTATCCTGCCTATCGCTCCACTTTCTAACCTCTGGTTAAATAGCCCAAACTCACCTCTCCCTTACTTACGCGTACTCCCAATCTGATGCGCCGGAAGCTGTGGAAGGGCGATGCTGGGCGTCGTCTCCGTGGAGAATTGGGCCTGGCTGCGTTGAGCCTCGTCACACGGACGACTCGAACGGCTGGCTCCAACACCCCGCTGATCCCGATGCCTTGAAGGACTCTACCTTTACTGCCTGAATCCCCCTCCTTTTATCCTACCTGCAATAAACGAGTTCCGCTGTTTCGCCCCCTTGGCCTCCCGTCCAATCAGGGGCCCGGATTTTCCCGCTCTTTTGATAGTCGGATCCCAGCTCTGGTGACGTCACCGCAGTGGTCCCCTCGACGTCCGCTTTCTGTTCTTCCCGCTATCAGCCCACTGCCCCGTGTTGCGTGTGTGCGCTTCCATCCGCGGTGGCTCAACATCCCCTGCCGTGACCATGCCGTTACAATCCAAGGTCACGGCGCCGCGGTGCACGTCAGCCTCGGGGGTAGGTCGCCCAATTCCCCGGCTGTAGGAAACCGTGAAGCTTGATCTCATTAGGAGCTTCTGGACGAAAACCCGTCGGCCAGGTGACCTTCCCCCCCGGCTCTACGTGGGGTGTGCGTGCATTCATGTGGGGGGCGGCGAGGGGCGCGCAGCGTCGGCGTCGTCACCCCCCGGTGGTGGCGTCACGGCGGTGGGCACGGCCCCGACGGAGCGGCCCCGCTGTGGCGGCACCACAGATACTATATTTTATTTTTGTTGCCCTATTGAAACGGCTGTACGCCGTGTGCTGTACTCTGATTTGTTCTGCCTGTAGATGTGAATGAAGGCATGTTCGCTGTGACCGTGAATAGAACAATATGTTTGTGCGTGTATCTTTTTTTTTGGTAATGACGGGAACGACAGCCACAGAAGGAAGTGAACTGATCGGAGAAGCGGCGTCCGTCGAAGAGATGGAGCGATAAAAAAAATCAGCTCGTGCGCATGTGGCAGTGGATTAAATACATCACGCGGGATCGCGAGAGATGGGGGCGGGGCGGCTTGGGGAAGCATTCATCCAGCAGTGCATTTGATGATGATGAAGACGATGATGATGTATATGACCATGTAAGGGGCCGTCCATAAATGACGTCACGTGATTTTGGACGATTTTTGACCCCCCCCCCCCCTCGTCACCCGGCGTCACAAAAAGTCAGACCCCCCCTCAAATATGACGTCACAAAGCTCTGCCCCCCCCTCCCAAAAAAAACACATATTTCCATTTTGTAAATAAAACATGCTTCAAATCTCTTTAAACTATTGTCATTGTAGTGCGTATATAATGTGGCGCTGCACTCTGATGTAGGAGTGTTGTTATAACAATTCTATATTTAAAGTTGCGCATTTTGAAGTGACGTCACATTTCTCCCCCCCCCCCCCTCGTCACAAATGTCTGAACCCCCCCCCCCCCCCCCAGGTGCGTGACGTCATTTATGGACGGCACCTAAACCGTATGGATGGACAGGAATACGAAGGAGACATCACAGCGCGGTTGTCTGGCTTGATCCGCCTGCCATGTGAAATTGTAGTTTGTTGCCATATGAAACACGACGAAGTAAATGGTACGATTAAGAGTTGCCACCATAGTTTTCCATTCGACTCAAACTGCCCTGTGTGCACATTAACACCGAACAGTTCATTTTGCAATAATAAACGTACCAGAAATACCAGTACCAGATACAATTCAATTCCTACTACTTGAACCGATACAAATTCCGTGTAAGATAAAAATAATAATTTATTTCCACTTTATTATTATTAACTACAAGGTCGTTAGCGTTATTAATGCTTTGTAAACGTATGTGTACACGGTACGGTGTTTCAAATTAATTTAAACTCATTTACAATACCGTTCTACTTCACAGTAGAAAAATGCGCTGCGAAACAATGTTTACAATTTGAATCAACCATTCTGGGTTTGATTCCTAAAGCATGCATTTGGTTAAGGGACAAAGCGATCACGTAAGGTCACACACACAAATATCTACAATTTATAAGTAACGTATCATTCTGTATCGTACATCGTATGCAATCAAGATAAGTGTAGCTACTTTTACATTAACATCGGCAGGTGGCGCTGCTTCCACGACACAAACAACGCTTTCATCAATAACACTGGCTTTAAACATAACAAAAAGTATAATAGGCGACGTTTCGGGCTATGGCCCTTCTTCACATCACATATAGAGGCCAGAGTCGAAGGAGCGTGTTGCTCAGAGAGGTATGACGAGTGAGAAAGGCCACCTATCACATTATTTTCCTTTCAAGGCCACAATGTAATTGGCGAATTAATCTAATGAGTTTTTTTTTTTATTATTTGTTCTTGTGCATCAATTTCCAACTCAGTCTCACCAATTAATGTGTATCCAGGACACAGCTCTGTGAAAAGTAAAATCACATATTTAAAAAGATAAATGACGACAATTAAACAAGGCTACGCTTTACTCTACCATGAGTAAAATACTCTACCATGAGTAAAATACACATGCAGGTTCATATACTATGGTTCCTCGAGAATAATGTTACCCAGGCGCATTTGTTTAGGCGGGTAAACTCATGATCCGTTTTGAATTTTCCACGTCTCATCAGCAGAGTGTGGCCTGCTAAACAAAGGCTGTTGGACAACATTGTTCCAAAGGGAGGAATGTTGACCCCAGGGTTCGTT